ATTGGTGTACAAGAATGCCGTTGATTTCTTTTTTTTTATTTTATCCTCACCCGAGGATATTTCTCCATTTTTTGTACAGATAGAGTGGGAGGGAGAGAGAGAGAGAAACATCAACGTGAAGGGACACATCGAGTGGCTGCCACCCGCACGACCAACCTGAGCCGGGGACAAACTGCAACCGAAGTACGTGCCCTTAGCGGGAACCGAACCCGGGTCTCTCGGACCGCAGGCCGACGCTCTAACCGCTGAGCCAAACCGGGCAGGGCATGCCGTTGATTTCTTGATGTTAATTTTGTATCCTGCTACTTTGCCAAATTCATTTATTAAGTCTAGTAGATTTTTGATGGAGTCTTTAGGGTTTTCTAGGTATAATATTATGTCATCTGCAAATAATGACAGTTTCACTTCCTCCTTTCCAATTTGGATCCCTTTTATTTTTTCTTCATGTCTGATTGCTGTGGCTAAGACTTCCAGTACAATGTTAAATAAGAGTGGCGAAAGTGGACATCCCTGTCTTGTTCCTGTTCTTAATAGAAATGTTTTTAGTTTCTGTCCATTGAGTATGATGTTGGCTGTAGGTCTTTCATATATGGCCTTTATTATGTCGAGATATGATCTCTCTATTCCTACATTGCTGAGCGTTTTTATCAGAAATGGATGCTGGATTTTGTCGAAGGCTTTTTCAGCATCTATTGATATGATCATGTAGTTTTTATTCTTCATTTTGTTTATGTGGTGTACCACGTTTATTGATTTGCGAATATTGTACCAGCCTTGCATCCCTGGAATGAATCTCACTTGGTCATGGTGAATAATTTTTTTGATGTATTTCTGGATCCGATTTGCTAATATTTTGTTCAGGATTTTGTCATCTATGTTCATCAGGGATATTGGCCTGTAGTTTTCTTTCTTTGAAGTGTCTTTTTCTGGTTTTGGAATTAGAATTATGCTGGCCTCATAGAACATGTTTGGAAGTCTTCCTTCTTCTTGAATATTTTGAAATAGTTTGAGGAGAATGGGTGTTAGTTCTTTTTTGAATGTTCAGTAAAACTCCCCCGTGAAGCCATCCGGGACTGGGCTTTTGTTTGCTGGGAGAGTCTTGATTACCTCTTCAATTTCCTTTGTTGTTATTGGTCTGTTCAAGTTTTCTATCTCTTCTGGGAATAGTTTTGGGAGACTGTGTGTTTCTAGAAATTTGTCCATTTTGCTTAGATTGTCGAATTTGTTGCCATATAGTTGTTCAGAGTTGTTAACGATCTTTTGTATTTCCGTGGTGTTGGTTGTTACTTCTCCTCTTTCATTTCTGATTTTGTGTATTTGGGTTCTCTCTCTTTGTTTCTTGCGAGTCTAGCTAAGGGTCCATCAATCTTGTTTATCTTTTCGAAAAACCAGTTCTTTGTTTCATTGATCCTTTGAATTGTTTTTTTGGTCTCTATGTCATTTATTTCTGCTCTGATCTTTACTATTTCCTTCCTTCTACTTGCTCTGGGGTTTTCTTTTTGTTTGCTTTCTAATTCTTTAAGTTGTGAGGTTAGACAGTTAATTAGAAATTTTTCTTGTTTTTTTGAGGTAGGCCTGTAGTGCTATGAACTTCCCTCTCAGAACTGCTTTCGCTGCATCCCATAGATTTTGTGTTGTTGTGTGTTCATTTTCATTGGTTTCCAGGAAGTTTTTAATTTCTTCCTTGATCTCCTCGGTGACCCATTCATTGTTTAATAACATGCTAATTAGCCTCCATGTGTTGAAATGTCTTTGCATGTTCTTGTTGCAATTGATTTCTAGTTTCATGCCATTGTGATCTGAGATGCTTGATATGATTTCAATCTTCTTGAACTTGTAGAGACTTAGTTTGTGTCCTAACGTGTGGTCTATCTTTGAGAATGTCCCATCTGCACTTGAGAAGAATGTGTATTCTGTAGTTTTGGGGTGTAATTCTCTGTAGATATCTATTAAATCCATTTGGTCTAGTGCTTCATTTAGAGTCTCTGTTTCCTTGCTAATTTTTTTGCCTAGAGGATCTATCCAGTGCTGTCAACGGGGTGTTGAAGTCCCCTGCTATGATTGTGTTGTTGTCGATTTCTCCTTGGAAGTCCTCCAGAAGATTTTTAATATATTTTGGTGCTCCTGTATTGGGTGCATATATGTTTATCAAGGTTATATCTTCCTGTTGGATAGATTCTTTCAATATTATATAGTGGCCTTCTTTGTCTCTAGTTATGGACTTCATTTTGAAATCTATTTTATCAGATATGAGAATTGTTACCCCAGCTTTTTTTTGCTTTCCATTTGCTTGGAAAAATTTTTTCCATCCCTTCACTTTCAACCTATGTGAGTCTTTTGTTGAGAGGTGGGTCTCTTGTAACCAACATATAGATGAGTCATGCTTTCTTATCCAATCAGCTACTCTGTCTTTTTATGGGAGCATTCAATCCATTTATGTTTAAGGTGATTATTGATATGTACTTACTTATTGCCATTTTTGTTTAGTGTGGTTCTATTTTTCTTCCCATTTCTACTGCTATTTACAGCAGTCCTTTTAACATTTCTTGCAGTGCTGTTTGGTGCTAATGTATTCCCTTAGCCTTTTTTTTTGTCTGGGAAGCTCATTATTTGATCTTCTATTTTGAATGATAGCCTTGCTGGGTAGAGTAGTCTTGGATTCATATTCTTGTTTTTCATGACTTTGATTGCTTCATGCCATTCTCTTCTGGCCTGTAGTGTTTCTTGTGAGAAGTCAGCTGAGAGCCTTATGGGGTTCCCTTTGTTGGTAACCTGTTGCTTATCTCTTGCTGATTTTAGGATTCTCTCTTTGTCTTTAATTTGTGACATTTTAATTACTATGTGTCTTGGTGTGGGCCTGTTTGGGTTCTTCTTACTTGGGACTCTCTGTGCTTCTTGAACTTGAATGCCTTCTTCCTTCACCAAATTAGGGAAGTTTTCTGTCACTATTTTTTTGAATATATTCTCTATCCCTTGCTCATATTCTTCTTCTTCGGGGACTCCTATGATGCGGATATTATTACATTTCCAGTTGTCCCACAGTTCTCTTAAGATATCTTCCTGTTTTTTAATAGTTTTTTCCTTTTGTTTTTCTGATTGGTTGATTTTTTCTACCCTGTCTTCTAATTCACTGATCCGGTCCTCAGCTTCCTCTACTCTGCTTTTTAAACCTTCCAATGTGTTTTTCATTTCTGATATGTCATTTTTTGTCTCTTCTTGATGGTTTTTAATTTCCAATTGGCTTATTTTCAGTGTCTCTATGTCCTTACTCATGCTGTTCAGCTTCCTCAAGATCATGGCTCTGAATTCTAGCTCTGTTAACATGCCTAATTGCTCCACATTGATCTCATCTTTGGTGGAGGCCTCTTGCTCTTTCATTTGGCTTCTGTTTCTGTGTTTCACCATTTTGGCTATCACTGTGGGCTTTGGAGCCTGTCAAGTTCTCCCTGTGGGTGTTGGTGTTCTGCTGTTTGTGGCTCCCTCTCCTGTTTTTAGATGAGCGAGGGAGGACCCACGTTGAACACCACTGTCAAGTCTTACTTTCCTGGTTAAAGTTGCCAGCCCAGGAAAGGTACTGTTATCCTCTAGCTTTTTGCCTGGAGGCTAGCAGTCTAGGTTACTTGATGAGTTTTGGGTTGTCAGTTGATTGAAAAGCTCCCTCAGGTGCTCAGCACAGGGGGATTTCCTGAGGGTGGGGCAGATGCTGGTTGTTAATGAGCTTCAATTAACACTTCAATGGCCCACAGGGTGGGGTTGGATCTCCGAGGGAGGGGCTGCTGCCTCTCCCCAGAGCCCTGGGAAGGAGAAATATGCCCACAGTCCTACATGGCTGCACTCAGCCAAAGCTCTGAGCGCCCTCCAGATCCCGAGTGTCCCCACACAGTTCCAGTCCAGTCTGCCCTCCCTCTGCCAGAGCCCAAGGTGAGTGGCTGTGGCTGTTTTAGCCTCTGTCCCGGCTCTGCGCTGTGGAGCCGCCTGGGAGTGTAACCCGAGGGCGCTGCTCCCAGCTGAGGCCGCTGCAGAGCTGCCAACCCTGAGCTGCCAACCCTGGGCTCCCAGCCCCCGTCTCGCGCCTTCACAAGCCTACCGGGATGGAGTCAGTGTCCCTCGTTATATGGTCCTCGCAAGCTGCTTTTCTGTTGCTTTTTCCCGTCAATTTGTCTGTGTTATAGTTGTAATTCCAGTTTGGTTCTGGGAGACGGTCTGTGTAGCTTCCGTTCACTCCGCCGCCATTTTTCTGTTCCCTGACATTGTCCTTTATTAACCACCTAATAATCTACCTCTAAGGCAGTTAATAATATTCTTAGAATTCCTTGAACAAGGTACTTAGTATATCACATGATAGTGTATTACATTTACCTAAAATTAATCTAACACAAAATTAAAACAATTCTTGCCCTTACATAAAGTACGTATTACAGAAACAGTGTGTAATACACAGTAAATGTTTAAATTATTTGCTCATGTATTGTTTGCAGTTATTCTAGTTTCTCTATTAAAGGCATCTCAAATCTTTTTGGGAAACAGATTCAGAATTTGATTTCTTATTTTAACTTTTCATTTTTGATGTGAGTGTTCGGAATTGCATTTATTACTGCATTCTTTTTAACATTTTTCAAACTATTCCTCACTTTAATTGACTTAATTATTTTTAACTGTTTCAAACTACAAGCATATTTTTACACAGATTTTGGAAAAATAGCATTTCTTAAACCTTTCGATTATAAGTTCTGTCTGGATTTATTTTATGCTTAGAAGACCATAACAGTTTCCAAGATGAGTTGTTCAGTCACCAGTTGAGAATCATATACAAGTTAATAATGGCTCTTGCTGCTCTTAATAAAAGTCAAATTATTTTGAAAGATATATTCTTTTCTTTTCAGGTACATTTGATATGAGTAGGAATTTCTCCTCTTCTTCCTCCTCCTTATCATCATCATCATCATCATCATCATGATCTAATCATTTCAAAGTTATTAAAAAAATTTTTTTTTTTGCAGGTCCTGACACTAAACTAATGCAGAACAGTGGTAAGACAAAGTTTAAAAGGACAAGCATTGATAGATTGATGAATACACTAGTACTGTGGGTAAGTTACTACAACAAAATTAGGCAATATCAGTAATCATTGTTATCTTAATATGTTTATTACATTTTGCTGAAAATTCTTTCAGAAGTATACATTCTCCTTGTGTAGTTTGTTTTTGGGGATTCTGTATTTTTAGCCCAGTTATATAGCCCTCTACTTTCCAAATGATGATTTCTTAACCATTGGTAGAGTTTCTTATGAGAGGAGGTTGATGCTTATGGAGGTTTCATGGTCCTGCAAGTTCTCCATATTCCAAAGATTTGTTTTTGAGAAACAAAACATATATATATATACACACACATATATATATATACACACACACACACACATATATACACACACACATATATATATAAATATAAATATATATATATATATTTTTTTTTTGGTACGTGCCCCTAGCAGGAACCGAACCTGGGACTCTCTGGTCCACAGGCTGATGCTCCAACCGCTGAGCCAAACCGGCCAGGGCCAAAACATAATTTTTAAGGTAGTTTGGTCTTTCTGTTGTCTTACTTTTGCTCACATCCTCTCTACACAGCTTATAGACAGGTCAGGCTTCATGAATGTGTGACTTATTCAGTTGCACAGGGTCCCCACTCTAAAACACCTCACATTTATTACTGATCTGCGATTGCTATGTAGGCATTTTTTTAAAGAAATTTTTAATAAATTTTGAACAGGTTACACATTTTTATTTTGCACTAGGCCCTGAAAATAATGTAACTGATTCTACTTATGAATCCTTTAATGCCTAAGTCACAGTTCTAGCTCATGGTTATCTCTTTCCTCTGTTTTTTTTTTTTTTTTTAAATTATTTCCTCTGCCACCCATTTACTAAAACAGTCAGGTATTCCTTGTATCCTACCCTTGTTTCAGTTACTCTCGTGCTGCCTCAGTCTGTGGAATCTAATGGTTAACTGATTTTTCATGAAATACTGCTTTGCCTCCTTATATAGGGGTTCAGTTTCAGGACATTAACTTTGAAATACAAGGGCAGTAACTTTGGACCATGTTCCTCTACCTGCCCCATCACGGACTCACAAACAATGATAAAATCTGAGCTCAATATTTATTTGCTTAACTGATATGTAATAGTGGGATTCTGAATAAGGAAGGAAAGAAGGAAATGGACTCTTATTTGGGTACAAAATATTGCCCAGGCTCTGTTTTACTTTCAGTATTAACCTCACACCTGGACTTTTCTCCCGCTACCACTGTCCTTTTGGGGCAGAATCCATGGGTCAAGAGAACATGCCCGGAAGGAGTCTGTGCCCCCCTCCCAGAATTTCCAATGTAAAGACCCTGAGTTCACTTCTAGGGCTTGCATGGGATTGTACATCTTTTCACCACAGAGTAAAATTACTGGGTTGTGAAGCAAGGACTGTCCCAATTTTTATACTAGAAAATTGGATGATCCATTGGGGAATTAGAAGTGGAATCCAGCCTTAAATTTGGTCATTTAATGCTAAGTATCATGAATTTTAATGCTCTTAAAGTAATTCAGTTAAATTAATTTGTAGTATCAGCCATTGAAAAAAACATGATACTGCGTGATACAAGTACCACAATATTAGGATTTCAGGGACTCACAGTTCTACTTTTCTCTAACACATGGTTTTCTTTTTCTTTAAATTAATTAATTTAATTTGTTACAGATGTTTCTCCTTTTCCCCCCGCTGATTCCCCCCTCCCCCTCCCTCCCCACCCTGTCCCCCGCTTTGTTGTCCATGTCCATTGTTCATGAACACATGCATATAAGTTTTGTGGTTTATCTCTCCTCCCCCTCTTCTGCGGATTGTCAGTCTGTATCCCACTTCCACGTCTCTGGGACCACCCCATTCCTCAGACTGTTATGTTCATTATATTCCACAAATAAGTGAGATACTTGTCTTTCTCTGTTTGGCTTGTTTCGCTTAGGATAATACTTTCCAGGTCCCTCCATGTCGTCTCAAAGGATAAGAGATCTTTCTTTCTTACAGCTGCATAGTACTCCATTGTGTATATGTACCACCGGTTTTTTTTTTTATCAATACATCTACTGATGGACATTTGGGCTGTTTCCAGATCTTAGCTATTGTAAATAGTGCTGCGATGAACATGGGGGTACATATATTCTTCCTGATTGGAGTTTCAGGCTTCTTAGGATATATTCTTAGAAGTGGGATCACTGGGTCAAATGGCAGTTCAATTTTTAATTTTTTGAGGTAATACAATATTGTTGTCCATAGTGGCTGCACCAGTCTGCATTCCCACCAGCAGTGTACTAGAGTTCCCTTTTCTCCACACCCTCTCCAACACTTGTTTTATGATTTGTTGATAGTGGCAATTCTGACAGGTGTGAGGTGATAGCTCATTGTTGTTTTAATTTGCATCTCTCTGATGATTAGTGATGTAGAGCATTTCTTCATATGTCTCTTAGCCATTTGTATGTCCTGTTTGGAGACGTGTCTATTTCATTCCTCTGCCTATTTTTCAATTGGGTTCTTTGTCTTCCTTTGTTGAGTTGTATGAGCACTCTATATATATTGGAAATTAACCCCTTATCTGATATATCATTGGCAATTATGCTCTCCCATACAGTGGATTGCCTTTTTATTTTGAAGATTGTATCTTTTGTTGTGCAGAAGCTTTTGAGTTTGATGTAGTCCCATGTGTTCATTTTCTGCTTTGGTTGTGTTGCCTTAGGTGATGCATCAGTGAAAATTCTGCTGTGTATGATGTCCAAAATTTTCTTGTCTACCTTTTCTTCTAGGATTTTTATGGATTCATGAGATACATTTAAGTCTTTTATCCATTTTGAGTTTATTCTTGTGTATGGTGTAAGTTGATGGTCTAGTTTCATTTTTTTTTTTTTTTTGCATGTAGCTGTCCAATTTTCCCAGCACCATTTATTAAAGAGGCTGTCTTTACTCCTCTGTATGCTCTTGCCACCTTTGTCAAATATTAATTGAGCATATTGCCTTGGGTCCATTTCTGGGTTCTCTGTTCTGTTCCACTGGTCTATATGCCTGTTCTTGTACCAGTACCAGGTTGTTTGATTACAGTGGCTTTGTAGTATAACCTAAAATCTGGTAATGTGATCCCTCCTACTTTGTTCTTTTTCAAGATTGCTGTGGCTATTTGAGGTCTTTTTGGGTTCCATATGAACTTTTGAAGCATTTGTTCTAGTTCTGTGAAGTATGTTGTTGGTATTTTGATGGGGATTGCATTGAATCTATAGATTCCTTTGAGTAGTATGGACATTTTAATGATGTTAATTCTTCCAATCCATGAACAAGGTATGTGCTTCCGCTTTTTTATATCTTCTTCTATTTGTTTTTTCAATGATCTGTAGTTTTCTGCAAATAGGTCCTTTACTTCTTTGGTTAAGTTTATTCCTAGGTATCTTAATTTTTTTGCCACAATAGTAAATGGGATTGTTTTCTTAGTTTCTCTTTCTGTGAGTTCATCATTGGTGTATAAAAATGCCATCGATTTCTTGATGTTAATTTTTTATCCTGCTACTTTGCCAAATTAATTTATTAAGTCTAATTTTTGATGGAGTCTTTGGGGTTTTCTACGTATAATATCATGTTATCTGCGAATAATGACAATTTCACTTCCTCTTTTCCTATTTGGATCCTTTTTATTTTTTCTTCCTGTTGGATTGCTGTGGCTAAGACTTCCAGTACTATGTTAAATAAGAGTGGCGAAATTGGGCATCCTTGTCTTGTTCCTGTTCTTGAGGGAAATGCTTTTAATTTCTGCCCATTGAGTATGCTGTTGGCTGTAGGTCTTTCATATATGGCCTTTATTATGTCGAGATATGATCCCTCTATTCCCACATTGCTGAGCGTTCTTATCAGAAATGGATGCTGGATTTTGTCAAAGGCTTTTTCGGCATCTATTGATATGATCATGTGGTTCTTATTCTTCATTTTATTTATGTGGTGTATCACATTTATTGATTTGTGAATATTGGACCAGCCTTCTATCCCTGGGATGAATCCCACTTGGTCATGGTGAATAATTTTTTTGATCCGATTTGCTAGTATTTGGTCAGGATTTTGGCATCTATGTTCATCAGGGATATTGGCCTGTAGTTTTCTTTCTTTGAAGTGTCTTTTTCTGTTTTTGGAATTAGAATCATGGTGGCCTCATAAAAGGAGTTTGGAAATCTTCCTTCTTGCATTTTTTGAAATAGTTTGAGGAGAATGGTTGTTAGTTCTTTTCTGAATGTTTGGTAAAACTCCCTCGTGAAGCCATCCGGGCCTGGGCTTTTGTTTGCAGAGTGAGTCTTGATTACCTCTTCAATTTCTTTAGTTGTTATGGTCTGTTGAAGTTTTCTATGTCTTCCCGGTCCAGTTTTGGGAGACTATGTGTTTCTAGAAATTTGTCCATTTCACTTAGATTGTCGAATTTGTTACCATATAATTGTTCATAATAGTTGTTAATGATCTTTTGTATTTCTGTGGTGTCTGTTGTTACTTCGCTTGCACTTCTGATTTTGCGTATTTGGGTTCTCTCTCCTTGTTTTTTGGTGAGTCTAGCTAAGGGTCCATCAATCTTGTTTATCTTTTCAAAGAACCAGCTCTTTGTTTCATTGATCCTTTGAATTGTTTTTTGGTCTCTATGTCACTTATTTGTGCTCTGATCTTCACTATTTTCTTCCTTCTACTTGCTGTGGGGTTTTTCATTTTGTTTGCTTTTTAATTCTTTAAGTTGTGAGGTTAGATAGTCTATTAAATATTTTTCTTGTTTCTTGAGGTAGGCCTGTCGTGGTATGAACTTCCCTCTCAGAACTGCTTTCGCTGTATCCCATAGACTTTGTGTTGTTGTGTATTCATTTTCATTGGTTTCCAGGAAGTTTTTAATTTCTTCCTTGATCTTCTCAGTAACCCATTCGTTGTTTAATAACATGCTATTTAGCCTCTATGTGTTCAAATATCTTTGCATGTTCCTGTTGCAATTGATTTCTAGTTTCATGCCATTGTGATCAGAGAAGATGCTTGATATGATTTCAATCTTCTTGAACTTGTAGAGACTTAGTTTGTGTCCTAACGTGTGGTCTATCTTTGAGAATGTCCCATGTGCACTTGAGAAGAATGTGAATTCTGTAGTTTTGGGGTGTAATTCTCTGTAGATATCTATTAAATCCATTTGGTCTAGTGCTTCATCTAGAGTCTCTCTTTCCTTGCTAAATTTTTTGTCTAGAAGATCTATCCAGTGATGTCAGTGGGGTGTTGAAGTCCCCTGTCATAATTGTATTGCTATCGATTTCTCCTTTGAAGTCTTCCAGAAGATTTTTAATATATTTTGGTGCTCCTATGTTGGGTGCCTATATGTTTACCAAGGTTATATCTTCCTGTTGGATAGTTCCTTTCAATATTATGTAGTGGCCTTCTTTGTCTCTATTTATGGCCTTCGTTTTGAAGTCTATTTTTATCAGATATGAGTATTGCTACCCCAACTTTTTTTTCTTTATCGTTTGCTTGGAAGATTTTTTTCCATCCCTTCACTTTCTTTCTTTTTTTTTTATCCTCACCTGAGGATATTTTATTCATTTTTATGTTCAGATAGAGCGGGAGGGGGGAGGGGGAGAGAGAGAGAGAGAGAGAGAGAGAGAGAGAGAGAGAGAAACATTGATGTGAAAGGGACACATCAAGTGGTTGCCACCTGCACGACCCAACCAGGGCCGGGGACAAACTGCAATCGAGCTACGTGCCCTTAGCGGGAATCGAACCTATGTCTCTCTGGACTGCAGTCTGATGCTCTAACTGCTTAGCCAAATCAGCCATGGCCCATCCCTTCACTTTCAACCTATGTGATTCTTTTATTGGGAGGTGGGTCTCTTGTAAACAACGTATGTATAAATCATACTTTCTTATTCAATCAGCTACTTTGTGTCTTTTTATCGAAGCATTCAATCCTTTTACATTTAAGGTGATTATTGATATGTACTTATTTATTGCCATTTTTGTCTAGTGTGGTTCTATTTTTCTTCCCATTTCTTCTGCTAATTACAGCAGTCCTTTAAACATTTCTTGCAGTGCTGGTTTGGTGTTAATATATTCCCTTAGCCTTTCTTTGTCTGGGAAGCTCTTTATTTGACCTTCTATTTTGAATGATAGCCTTGCTGGGTAGAGTAGTCTTGGATTCAGATCCTTGTTTTTCATGACCTTGATTACTTCATGCCATTTCCTTCTGGCCTGTAGTGTTTCTGTTGAGAAGTCAGCTGAAACCTTAATTGGGGTTCCTTTGTAGGTAACCTGTTGCTTATCTCTTGCTGCCTTTAGGATTCTCTCTTTGTCTTTAATTTTTGGCATTTTAATTACTATGTGTCTTGGTGTGGGCCTGTTTGGGTTCTTATTACTTGGGGCTCTCTGTGCTTCTTGAACTTGAATGCATTCTTTCTTCACCAAATTAGGGAAGTTTTCTGTCAGTATTTCTTCAAATATATTCTCTAACCCTTGCTCATTTTCTTCTTCTTTAGGGACTCCTATGATACAGATATTACTATGTTCCCAGTTGTCCCACCATTCTCTTAAGCTGTCTTCCTGTTTTTTTTTCCTTTCAGTTTTCTGATTGGTTGATTTTTTTTTACCCTGTCTTCTAATTCACTGATCTGGTCCTCCGCTTCTTCTACTCTGCGTTTTAGACCTTCCAATGTGTTCTTTATTTCTGACATGTCATTCTTCTTTTCTTCTTGGTGGTTTTTAATTTTCAGGTGGTTGTTTTTCAACATTTCTATGTCTTTACTCATGGTGGTCATGTCCTTACACATGCGGTTTAACTTCCTCAAGATCATAGCTCTGAATTCTAGTTCTATTAACTTGCTTAAATGCACGTCATTTATCTCATCTTTGGTAGAGTTCTCTTGTTCTTTCATTTGGGATTTGTTTCTCTGTTTCACCATTTTGGCTATCTCAGTGGGCTTTGGAGCCTGCCAAATTTTCCCTGTGGGTGTTGGTGTTCTGCTGTTTGTGGCACTCTCTACTAGGTTTGGATGAGCATGGGAGGAACCACGTTAAACACCACTGTCAAGTCTCACCTTCCTGGGAAGAGTTGCAAGCCCAGGAATGGTTCAGTTATTCTCTAGGTTTTTGCCTGAAGGCTATTAGTCACAGTTACTTGGAGAGCCTTTGCTTCTCAGTTGAATGAAAAAGTCCTTTAGGTGTTCATAGTAAGGGAATTTCCCAAGGGTTGGGCAGATGCTGGTTGTTAATGAGCCTCATTTTGCATTTCAATGGTCACTGGGTGGGGTGAATCTGTAAGGGAGGGGCCATTCCTCTCCCCAGAGCCCTGGGAAGGAGTAAGATGACCACTGTCCTGAGTGGCTGCAACTCAGCAAAAGCTCTGAGCTCCCTCCAAATCCCAAGTGTCTCCACACAGTTCCAGTCCAGTCCACCCTCCCTCTGCTGGAGCCCAAGGTGAGTGGCTGTGGCTATTTTAGCGTCTGTCCTGGCTTTGCACTGTGGAGCCGCTTGGGAGTATAACCCCAAGGGCGCTGCTCACAGCTAAGACTGCTGCTGTCTGTGAGCTCCCAGCCCCCCTTTTGTGCATCCGCAATCCTACAAGGATTGAGTCAGTGTCCCTGGTTATATGGTCCTCCAAGCTGCTTTTCTGTTGCTTTTTCCTGACAATTTATGTTTATTTTTGTTGTAATTCCAGTTTGGTCCTGGGAGATGGTCTGTGTAGCTTCCATTCACTCTGCTGCCATTTTGGAATCTAACACATGGTTTTCTGATATACTTCAAGTTGTCTTTCCCCAAACTTTGTCTTCATAATGTGGCTATTTTGTTCATGAGGAAAAAAGAAGGCAGTCCTAGAACATCTGAATATTTCTTCATGGAGGAGAAAAGAAATTGTAGGGAAATACATTCCTGTTCTCTAGCCCCACACCTCTGTCCCCCGTGGCTGGTCTCAGCTCCTCTCCGTGTGACACTTTGCAGAGCAAAGTCCCCTAAACATTGTGTTCAGCTCAAGTCTTACCACATTCACTGACTTTGTGTTCTTCCTGTTAAAGCTGGAATTTGGGGCTCACAAGGAACTGACTCTGCTATCTTTCTATTTCCTACACTTACAAAATGTTTGTTTTGTTAATACCGATACTGATCACAATGTAAGAGTCAGCTAGTTTTCAGGTTGCTTCCTACCTTTTTTTTTTTTTAATCTCAAAAGGAGAAAATATATAAAATACTATGCAGCTGTAAGAAAGAAAGATCTCTTACCCTTTGAGATGACATTGAAGGACCTAGAGAGTATTGTGCTAAGCGAAATAAGTCAGTCAGAGAAAGACAAGTACCACATGATCTCACTTATTTATGGAACATCATGAAGAAAATAACTGTCAATAAAAATAGATTCAGAGTCATGGAAGTAGGGAACAGACTGACAAACCTCAGAGGGAAGGGGGTGGGAGGGGGAAGAGATAAACCAAAGAACTTATATGCATATATGCAACCAATGGACACAGAAAATAGGTTGGGAAAGCAGGAGAGGAGTGGGTGTGGGAAGGAGGGAACCAATGGGGGAAAAAAAGGAGACATCTGTATTACTTTCAACAATAAAAATATTAATTAAAAAATATTAATTTAAATATGTAATCTTTTAATTAATCCTTATCTTTCTGGTTAACCTTAAGTAAGTATTATGCAGCTAGATCTGTAGCCAAAAGACTTGCCCAGTCTGGGACAGTTCTTTATCATTGATATTTTTTACTTTTGCTTTTGTGCCTTGGGTGATTATATAACTTATCCTTTAAAAGGGGTACTTTTAAAGGGGGAAGGGAGGAACACTATTAATATTACGTCTGGACAATAGATGTAAACTGGGGTTGAACAGGGCACATCAGGACATATGTTCTTTACTTAAGCCACTTAAACATGTGCACTGATTGTGAATTGAGGAATTAAAGTTATTAGCTTTGTGACCATGGACAAGTTATATAATTTTTCTGTGCTTCCATTGTATTTTTGTTTTTGACCAGTAAAGTGTGAAAGTAACTGTTCATATCTCAAAGTCAAAGGGAGAAATGAGAAAATGAATGCAAAATATTTAGCTGAGTTCTCTACATAGTAATGCTAAATTTTATTTGCATGGTTAATGATAAGTAAGAACAGCTTTTTATAACTTGCTTTTCAAATGACACTTTCTTGGCGTTAGAAGTGTAATTAGATTGCATTGATATGACTAGTTTTGATTCAAATTAACCTTAACCAGACTTCTATTCTCATTTCAGATTTTTGGGTTTCTGGTATGTTTGGGAATTATTCTTGCAATAGGAAATTCAATCTGGGCGAACCAAGTTGGGGACCAATTCAAAACTTACCTTTTCTGGAATGAAGGAGAGAAGAACTCTGTGTTCTCAGGATTCTTAACATTCTGGTCATATATTATTATTCTCAACACAGTTGTACCTATTTCATTATACGTGAGGTAAGATGAGAGTTTATATTTGAGTGAAGCCATTTCATGCAAAGCCTTTGTTTTGCGTAATCATTTTTGTTTGTTTTAAAATTACTACAGTGAGATAGATGTCTCGCTTTGTTTAGGATCTGCCACAGCTGTTACACATGAAGCAACTAAGCTGGTTAATCTGTTTAGCTTTTACATTTTCAAATGACAATAAATGCATTTTATTTTCTTCTTTGATTCGTTTCCTCATCAATCTTTTTCTTTGGAATATATGGACTATAATATAATCTCATGCAGCCTGATACATTTGAATTAAGTTGATGTTGGGCAAGAAAGAAAAGAATATTTGGGGATATCTATGACAATGGTGCCTCCCTGCCCTTGTCTGGCTCCAGATACCTGGCTTCAGATCCTTCCTAGTTCTGTAAATTGGGCAAGTTAACTCAACTTTTAGTGCCTCAATTTTCACATTTTAAAAATAGAGAAAAGGTGAGAGGTGGATCAAGATGGTGGCGTACGTAAACGCAGTATTGCCTCTTCCCACAACCACATCAAAATTACAACAAAACTACAACACAACCATCACTCAGAACAGCCTGAAATCCAGCTGAATGGAAGTCCTACCACCTCAAAAGTAAAGCAGCCACCACATCGAGACTGGTAGGAGGGGTGGAGGCACAGATGGGCCGGTCCCACACCCACGTGTGTCAGATAAAAATCAGAGAGACCTCAGCTGGAAAGGTCCTCCCTGAGGAGTGAGGGGTCCCCGTTTCACACCAGGCACCCGGATCAGGGTCCCAGTGCCCGGAACAGAAGTCCCCATAACTTCTGGCTGGAAAAACCAGTGGGAGCTGAGGCAGAGGGAAGCTGTGGCTACAGAAGCCCCAGGAGTTCCTCTTAAAGGGCCCATGCACAGACTTACTCACACCCGTTCCTCCTGAGCTCCGAGGGGAGGCAGCTTGAGGGGCATCAGAGAACAGAGAAGAACTGAGCTGTTTGGCCTCCCGACGAGGGCTGGAGAGGCAGCTTTCTCCTGGACAGAGGTGATGGTGGAGGTCAATTTTCCTTTGGTGAACCCTTCCCCCACAGGACAGGCAGATAGCCGCCATATCTGGGACTCCAGCAACTTGGCTCACACTGTTGGCCACCCCCTGGTGATTCCATGAGGCCCCGCCCCACCCAACTTTTGGGCCCACCCAAGCTGTTTTCAAAGACTTTACCATTGGATTGGCCTGTCTTGGATTCTTCTTCAGAGTTTCCTAAAATCTCTCAAACAAGCAGCATCTGGTAACTGAGTCCACTGGTGCACTGGCACCATGGGACCAGTGGCCACCCTGTGTCATCACAGACCAGTGCCCAGTAGTGGAGCTGTCAAGGTGCCGGTTGCAGAAGCTGCAAACTGCTGGGAGCCCAGCACCATCCCCCGCAGTAGAAGCCCAATCAGAGTCAAGATATACCCCCAGCAACAGAGGCTGGGGAGCAGACATCTATCCCTAGGCAACAGAAGCACAGACCAGCAGCAGAGAACCATTCCCAAAAACTACAACAAAGGCTGAGCAGGAGCTGAGACCCACTGGGCAGCAGCACTCCCCAGCCACAACAGGGGGCTCCATAGGGCCCTGTGCCACCCAGCGGCCCACAAGAGCGGTGTGGAGCCGGGGTTCCAGATGAACCTGTGTGACCCAGTGGCCCACAAGAATGGTGCGGAGCTGGGGCTCGAGAGGGGCCAGTCTCAGGGAGCCCCATACCTCTCATTAAGTGGCCCCAGGCCTGGCACTAGACGCAGCTAGCCTTGGTTCACAACTTGGCTTTTCCTGGACACCTCCAAGCCCAGCACAAGAAGCAGCCATCTGCAGTTCACTTTGTAGTTTATGCCAGGTGGCCCTGGATAGAGCAGAGGCAGCGGCTGACTTTGTCACAGAGCCAACACACCTGGTGGACAGCTTCAGACTACATCGAAACACCACCACCCAACCACCTCCACAAGGGACACACTCAATGAGTGGACTCAGTGGGTACCAGAGCCCTGCTGAAGTAAGTTTTGCTCTGTGTGGTGGGCCCCTACATAGTTGATCCTCCAAGATAGTGGCTAGTGGGCACAGCCAGTCCTTGCAGCTGACCAGCCTGAGTAAACCCCTCCCACTGATGTGCCAACAGCAGTCAAGACTCAATAACAAGAGAAGGGTGAATAGTCTACACTAGGGGTGCACTGAGAGGGCCCAGGTGGAGTGATCAGGGAGACTATGCCACTGGATCCTACAGGACACCTATAACAGTAGGCCACCCTATGAAGCCTAGAAAGCATAGCAACTCTGCCTAATACATAGAAACAATCACAGGGAAGCAGCCAAAATAAGGAAACAAAGAAACATGTCTCAAATGAAAGAAAAGAACAAAACTCCGGGAAAAGAACTAAACAAAATGGAGATAAGCAATCTAACAGATGCAGAGTTCATAACACATGTTATAAGGTTGCTCAGGAAACTTGGTGAGACATCCAAGGGACTTAGTGAGACCTTCAAGGAACTTAGGGAGACCTCCAAGGAACTTAGTGAGAACATCAACAACATAAAAAAGGGCCAGTCAGAAATTAAGATGCACTAACTGAAATAAAGAATAATTTACAGGGAATCAATAGCAGAGTAGGTAAAGCCAAGAAGCAAACCATCGATTTGGAATATAAGGAAGCAGAAAACACCCAATCAGAACAGAAAAAAGAAAAAAGAAAAAAAAAAATGAGGATAGTGTAAGGAGCCTCTGGGACAACTTTAAGCATGCCAACATTCACATCATAGGGGTGCCTGAAGGAGAAGAGAGAGAGCAAGAAATTGAAAAACTATTTGAAACAATAATGACAGAAAACTTCCCTAACTTGGTGAAGGAAACAGGCATACAACTTCAGGAAGCACAGAGAGTCCCAAACAAGTTGAACCCAAAGAGGTCCACACCAAGACACATCATCATCAAAATGCCAAAGGTTAAATACAAAGAGAGAATCTTAAAAGCAGCAAGAGAAAAGCAGTCCATTACCTAAAAAGGAGCTCCCATAAGACTGTCAGCTGATTTCTCAAAAGAAACTTTGCAGGCCAGAAAGGAGTGGCAAGAGATATTCAAGGTGATGAAAAGCAATGACCTGCAACCAAGATTACTCTATCTTGCAAAGCTATCATTTAGAATGGATGAACATATCAAGAGTTTTCCGGACAAGAAAAAGCTAAAGGAGTTCATCACCACCAAACCAGTATTATATGAAATGTTGAAGGGTCTTCTTGAAGGAGAAGAAGAACAAAAATGTGAACAATAAATGGCAATTAATACATATCTATCAACAACTGAATCTACAAACAAAATGAGCAAGCAGAACAGAAACAGACTCATAGATGCAGAGAACATTTTGTTGCTTGCCAGATGGGTGGAGGCTGGGGGGATGGGTAAAAAAGATGAAGGAATTAAGAAATACAAATTGGTTGTTTGACTGATGAACCTCAAAGGGAAAGGGGGAAGGAGGGTGAGATGACATAAACCAAAGAACTTCTAGGCATATATACATAACCAATGGACACCAACAATAGTGTGGGGAAGGCAGGAGGGGGCGGCAATGGGGAGGAGGGAGTCAATGGAGAAAAATGGAAGAAACCTCTGTAATACATTCAGCAATAAAGATGAGTTAAAAAAAAAAAAAGATACCAGATGCAAAAAAAAAATAAAATAGAGAAAATGATAGGATTATCTGAGGAGTAAACAAACATGTAATGCTCTTAGAAAAATGCCTGACACTTTGTAAGAGCTTAATATTAATTTTTCTATTATTATTTGTAACTATAAATGACTATATAAAGGAGTTGAAATATAGTTGGTGGTGCTTAACCATTGCTAAATAGAAGCATGATTCATAACTCCCACTACAACTTGATTTGTCATTCTAGATTTGGTCCTACAAACTAGAACTATAATGGTGTCTATGTCTATGTCTATGTCTATGTCTATGTCTATGTCTATGTCTATGTCTATGTCTATGTCTATGTCTATGTCTATGTCTATGTCTATCTCTACATATATATATGTGTATACACACACACACACACACACACACACACACACACACACATATATAGATGTACACACACCTCTCTCTGTATATGTACATATACATGTATATGTGTATGTGTGAGTTTGTGTGTTTGATAAGTTGGCCCTAGAGTCTGTACTTAATTCAGTCTTGATCCTAATCACACCAAGACTGAGCCAGACCATCCCAGAGATGCTGGAGCCAAGGAGAGCTGGTAGTTTGACTTTCCTCATCACCAGTATTTTAACAATACACCAGATCACCAGCTCTAAATCTCCACTAATTTTTATGAGCTCCTTTTTCTCTCTTTCCAAAATTCTACTTATGACGAAGCAAGGGAAATTAATGACAAAATCCACCCTTGTTTTGGATAGCAGTCAGGAAACTGAAATGTCAAGTTGTGGGAAATTGACTTGAAGTAGTGGCATGTGGCCATAACACCACAAATACTTTGAACCTTCTGGAGCTGTGGTCAGAGTGGGCCCTATTTAAACTGTATCCTACTGGCTCATATTTGATTCTGAGGACCTTTCAAGCTTGTATCCAATTATAAAGTTTGTAGTAAATCCCATTCTTTGCCAGAACAGCTATGGTCAGCTTTTATAGCTTTCCTTTTATGTCCTACATGAATAATATATGCTCATAGTGAGTTACCACCAGTAAGTGCGCAGTTTCATATGTCCTCATGAAGGAAGTATATTCTATATATGTTCTTTCTTTGAAGTGCATTGACATTTTTCATTTATTGATTTGAAAGTTTTTTTTTTGTTTTTTTTTTTAGAGACCAAGGCTAGATTCCTAGGTTAAGATTCATTTTCCTTCTAATGTATCCCCTGCAATGGTGGAGAGAAAATCTGTTTGGAGTAGTCCAAACCCACGTTCTGGTCTGGGCACTGCCACCGATACTCTGTGACCTTGGAGAAGGCACTTGGCTTCTCTGTTACTTAGTTAGCCTGTCAAATATGTGCTGCTCAATAAAATGAGGGGATTAAAATAACTGATTTCTGAGTGTCTTTTCTGCTCCAAATAATACCACCGTACCTTTAGATAGCTTTTAACATTTTATATAAAGTACTTTCATGTACTTTATCTCATTTATGTCTCCTAAACACTCTTCGGGAGTAATTGCTGAACTTCTTTCAAAAATGAGACGATTCACTCATGATGATGGAACTGGTTAGGGACAGAACCGCGATCGAAATCCAAGTCTTCTCACACTTGGCAGTATTTTTCCTCTATGCCTAAACTGAGCATGATTTATTAATCAGTAAAGGTATCGAGAGAAAAAACAAACAAACTGGAGTTCTCTGTTGGTAAGGCATAGTATTAATGAGGATAAATGTAAGCTTTTCTCACTAAATAGAAACAGTGATTCTGATCTCAAGGTGGGGGTGGGGAAGGCATTCTGAGGAATTTCAGGTGTCTTAGTCTTAAAGACTGAGATCTAGAGAAAGCGAACTCCCAGTTATTTCTATTTGGAGGGATAAAGGCCTTCACTAGCAACTTCCATTCGGCTTTTGAATAGATACCAAGGATAAATCAGGGCCATATGTCACTTGAGAATACAAGTGCAGAATTTCCTTTGAATGGTTAACAATTCCACGTGATGAAAGGACGTTGACTGTGGTGAGACAGTTCTATGCTGTCAGTGTGTTTATCTGTAGTGTTAAACGCACCCAGCTATGATTTTTAAATACTTTATTTAAGAAATACAACCATGTACTCCCCAGGCATTAGCTTTAGAGTTTTTTTATTTTCTTCCCCAAAGCAATAGGAACTTATTTCCATGTTGCTTGTTTTGCCATCGAATGGGGGGAATCGTTAGCCCTGCTCTCGGCATCCGGGCAGAAGGCACTAAGGGGCTTGATTATGCTAACTCTGAACACGGGTCTCCTTCCTCTATCCTAAAACAAAGGGCTGAGGGTTCCACTGTGACTCTCTTAAAACTTTTTTTCCCCGACAAAAAAGGATATGCTTCTCTCTACAGACTCTTTTTCGATCTAAGAATTCAAATTAATGTAGAGTACTTCCTTTGGCTTGTGCTGCAACACAGAAGGAACACATTCTGTTCCATTCATGCTGCCTTGCATTTTCAGGGAGCTACTTTACTTTCAAATAAATGAAAGCTCCAGCTGATTTCCGTAGTTACCTGCATAAAGCTGTCCTGATGGCATTCTTAAGGTCAAGTCTGCCCTGGCTTTACCAGATGCCCAAATTCTTGTCTTGGCTCTGTGGTTAATTATTTATGTGACCTGGGGTTAGTCATTTAACCTCTGCTAATGTCCTTATTAATGAAATTAGAGAATAGAGAGTCAGGATTCATTCAGGAATCCCGACTGACTGCCCATGACAGATAGAGCAGGTGTCTGGTCCATGTGCACTAATGCTTTCTGAGTGAGGGACTAAGGAACGTGAAGCTGAATTAGAACAGCTATCAAGGAACTTATAAGGATGGGTGTGTGCGGATGGTGGTGGTGGTAGATACAGACCAGTAAAGCGTAACAGGAAAATATATGAATAAATACATGCAGAGTATGACATTTATTTTTATATCACGTGATTCTACAAAGTCATAATGTGATGTTTAGTTTGGGTGGAAAAATAATGTTAACATTTAAATGGTTGGAAAATGAACTGGTACCATACCACCTTGGGGGAGGAAATGTAGCTATGTCGTGCAGTTATAGAAGTAGAAGCATAGAATTTAATGCCCAGAAAGCACTTGGGTGTCCTCTTTGTCTTCAAGGAGACAAGTATTCAGAGGTGGCGTACCAGGCCTCCATGAACTTCCTCACTTTACAGCTGAGAAAACCAAGGCCTGATTCCCAGTGAGGTCAGAAATAAGCTGTGGGTCCTTGCTGCTACCACCCCTATTTTATACCACTCTGGATGTCCTTATAAATGTGCTCGCACATGCAACTGAAATATCAGTGAACGCAATGAGTCATGAAACCAGAACGGAAACAATCCTATTAGAAAGGAAAAGCATAGATAATGTGATTGCAATTCTAGAAAATCCAAAAGATTCTGTAAAACTCTTAGTGAGATCATTTAATTCAATGTCTGATTTTGTCACATAGTCACATTTTTACGCAAATAACAATTTTTAAAATTATCAGTAAAAAAGATGTAATGTCCAGGAACACATTTATCAAGCTGTGGTGTGAACCTATGTGAAAAAGAAAGCAAAACAAGACTAAATCAATTTCCACCCCCCCATTGGAGGTACTTTTTAAAACGGAATTTCTGGAAAGATTTATCCTTCTTGAAGTTGTTTTAGGCATTATAAAATACCAGTTCTTTTAAAGTAATTCAGAGTCTAACATAGATTTTGTAAAAACCTAAATAATTTTATAAGAAAGCTGATACATGAATTCTAAAGTTTATTTACATGAATATGTTGATCCTATCAGGAAAAATAAATGATGGATCATAGCTCAGAATTTTAAAAAAAGAAGAGAATAAATGTTCTCTTCTCTCTTTCCAGGTATTGCCAAATTTTTATAAAGCTGCAATAAGGAAAACAAGAGACCATTAAGTGACATATTACGGAAAAAAATAGAAATTCCTAAAACAGATTCTAGGGAGAAAACTAATTTGTATGTGACAAGGAAGCAGCCCAACATAGTAGGGGAAAAGTTCATTACTAAACACACTGTGATGAAAATATTTCTGTTGGTAAAAGTTGACATTAGCTCTTTATATGTACATCGTATTAAAAAAATTCTGTGACAAAGAATTAAATGTGGAAAAAATTAATAAAGAACTAGAGGAAGAATATAGATATCTGTATGTATAATCTTGGCACAGGGAAGGCCTATCTAAGCAAAACTCCCGAAACAGAAACTATAAAATTTGATCAATTCAAAAGAGAAAACTTCTGTATGTTAAAAATAGTAGAAACAAACTTAAAAGACAAATGATAAATTGGGTAGCATATTTGCATAATGTGTGTATATATAAGATATACACATATCGTTTTTAACAAATAAATAAGAAATACACTACCTCTAGATAGGAAAAATAAAAGTAGGCAGATAACACAATTAGATAATCCTGAGAAGAAAACAACTGGCCAATAAAATCTGAAACAAATGTTTAACACACTGAAAAGAAATCCAGTAAACAGTAATTCGATGTATTTGACTTGGCATCTAGTCAAAGATAATTTTCAGTAATCTAATGGCAGAAATTTACATTGTTAAAATGTTTTTGGAAATCGGTTTGGCCTTATGCATAACAAAGATTGAAAATGATCATATTCTTGGCTGCAGAAACTTCATTTCCAGAGTTGCAAAGTCATAAATCACTACTAGATTATAAGACAATGCTCTCGTCCTGGTAAATGGGCAGAGTAATATGACAACACACCCCTGTTTTCACTCAATATCACAGTTTTTTCTATGCTTCGGGAGATAGTTTCTACCTCTTGTGGCAAAGTGAAGCCATATAAAAAAATGTATTGGTGAGAAAGTCCTCAACAACACATTTCTTTAGCTCAGACATCTGACAAGCATCTTTAATAATAGTTAGTTTCTCCTAAAATGTAGGAGAGATGCCAACTAATAAGTAACACAAGAAATCTCCACTGTAAACAGAGAACCATGGAAGGGTCCCTGGACTTTATGCGAAGCCAGCCCATTGTTCCCTGGTGCTGTGAGGAAATGACTTAGGAAGGTTTAAGAAACAAACTGCTGAGATGCTTCTGAAGGTCATGAGGACCTAGGGACAGAGCATCCACATTTTCTTCTAAACTCCCCAGACTTTGGCAGACTTCTTATTTTGGCAAAGCTTTGTATATTCTGAAATTGATGGAACACTTCTCTCTCTCTCTCTCATTTTTTTTTTTTTTTTTTCCATTTTAATGGATGAAAGTGTGGAAGTAATTCGTCTGGGACACAGTTATTTTATAAACTGGGATCGGAAGATGTATTACTCTGAAAAAGCAACACCTGCGGAAGCTCGAACGACCACTCTCAACGAGGAGCTGGGCCAGATTGAATATGTTTTCTCTGACAAAACGGGCACCCTCACTCAGAACATCATGACTTTTAAAAAGTGTTCCATTGATGGGAGAATCTATGGTAAGGGAAACAGTTCCTTAAAAAAAAAAAAAAAAAAAAGATATTGTTAATGGTCCTTTAAGAAACAAGCAAGCCTATTTTTTTTTTCTTATTAAGAAACCCAAAACCATCCCTGCTTTCTTGTTAACATGGGCACCACCGGCATCTAACATAGTGCTTAGCACATACTAAACACTCACTGAATATTAGCTGGATGAATGTTGAATAATTGAGATGAAACTGGCTTTGTTACCATTCATGGGTAGAGAGGGGCTTAGATGTGATACTGTCCGAGGTTCCACTCAGTGTTCCAACTCTGGGACTCTGCTTTGTGGTGCTTAATAGACCTATAACCCCAGGGGGGCATTTTTTTTGGTAGTTTTTTTGTACTTGCTTCCCATCAGCTCTGGAATTGATGTTAGTTCCTGTGTTTGTGAGAATTTACTATTCATTCCTGAGAATTCACAGTGTAGTGGGCTATTTTGAGTGGCCAGACAAGCTGGTTCGTCCATATGCAGTTCCTGTTTGTCAGCTTTGTTCAGGATACTGTCTCTGTATTTGGACTTAAAGCCTTCTATTTATACGAGACCCTTGTCACCCAGACTTTGGCCAATTCCAAGACAGTTTCTTCTGCTGAGAGCACGGAAGCTCTGTAGAAGGGGTATGTTGGGCTCCCCTGGACCCCCAATCTCACTTCACTGGATTCTGAGAGTCCAGTTTCTTTAAACAGAAATCCCAGGAAGTAAAGAGAGGCAAAAATTCCCTTTGTCTCCTGATGGGAAACTTCACATACTGCCAAATATTTTAAAGCAAGCTGGCTGGTGTGGCACAGTGGATTGAGCATTGTCCCATGGACTGAGAGGTCCCAGTTTGATTCCCGGTCAGGGCATATTCCTGGGTTGTGAGCTTGATCCCCAGGGGCCATGCAGGAGGCAGCCAATGGATGTTTCTCTCTCACATCAATGTTCCTATCTTTCTCTCCCCCCCAAATATCTCTCTCTCTCTCTCTCTCTCTCTCTCTCTATATATATATATATAATATATATGTATATATTTGACCTTGAACAAAACTAAGAACACAAGAAATTGATTTTTTTTGTTTTGTTAATCCTCACCCGAGGATATTTTTCCATTAATTTTTAGACCGAGTGGAAGAAAGAGAGGGAGGGAGAGAGAGAGAAACATCGACGGGAGAGAGACACAGCTTTTGGTTGCCTCCCACATAACCCTGAATGGGGCCAGGGATTGAACCTGCAACCCAGATACGTGCCCTTGACTGGAATCAAACCCGAGACCCTTCAGTCTGAGGACTGATGCTCTAACCACTGAGCAAAACTGGCCAGGGCAAGAAGTTGATTTTTATACTCTCCTGCCTTTGACCTCCTCCTTTCAACCCAGCCCTGTAACCCCGGGTCACCATGGCTTCCTCACTTCTCTGCCCCACTCTAGCAGTGGACCAGATGGCTTTCAACCCGCACTCACATAAGCCCTCAGCTATATTGTGCATTTCATATCTCACTATCATAATGACTAGTAAATAGAACCTTTCCTCAGAAAGTTTTTTTTGGACATTAGCTTCAAAGGCTTTCAAAATACTGCCTTAACCCAAAGAGTAGTTTAAATGGAAAACTTTCAGTTAAAGTATTGGAGGTATTTTGAAATTGTGGAACGTTTTGAATTATTTTACCATGGTATGTATTGAAAATATAATAATATCACTTCTAGAAAATGATGTTAAGGAAAATATCAGACATTTGGACCAAGATTTGTTTGTAGAGATATTTACCCCAGGATTATTTTTAGAGGAGGTCCTTGATTTTCATAAAGTATATATCCCAGGATCTTTGCAAGTCTCCAAATGTATAAATCCACGATAGCTTGTAATTTCCCTCATAAAATGCAGGAAAGTAACTGAAATATTTAAGTAACCCCTTTAGACCCTTAATTTCTATGCCATAATAATTTATAATGCATTCATGATATCATGAAAATATATTTTTACTAAAGCACTCACAGAATGTTTCAGAATAACTCTTTCCTGTTTTCACACACGTTGGTCTCGTTTATATCATAGATCCAGACCTTGGGCAATTTTGAAATTATACTCTGATTTATCTAAATCTTCTATTATCTGGCTCAGAACTATCATTTTTCTTAGACCTCTTTAATTTTTCTTCAGTCCCATCATAGCCCTAAAAGTGAGCTTTCTTTGGGGGAATCATTTTACACAAAGATACAGTTCTTAAAAAAATGATTATTTACTGGAGTTACTGCATATGGGATAATGATTGGAACATAAGCAGAGTGAGTTTGAGATTTAAATTCCACTAGCTCAGGGACTGCTCCCTGTGCAGCTATGCAGCACCCCAGGTTTAGACCTGTGCCCCAAAAAGCAACAAATAATTGTTGGTCAAGTGTTTTTTTTTTTTGGTCATAGCATTATGTAGTGAAAAGAGAGACACTTAGGCTCAGAAATCCACTCTGCTACCTTTGCAGTCTTAGTTTAGTCTTGTTACTTGGAACTCAGTTCTTCAGTTCACTCATCCATAAGACAGAAATGACAATCTTCATCTGCAAGTTTGTTCAAAAGATAAGTGATAATGTAAGTGCCTGGCACAGGATTGATGCAAATAACTCTTATTATTTTTACAAGAATTAGAGTCCTGACACATAGCATTGCACCTTCAAACGCCGAGCAAAAATTAGAAGTTTTAAAGGCCTCCGGCTAGGGTAAAACTCCAGTGAATGATGCTACATGGACTATCAGAAAACCATTCAAAATTAGATTCACAGAGAACTGTTAATGACAGGAGACATTCTTATCCTTTTAGTGATTAAAAAAAGCAGGAAGCAGAAATTTATGAACAGTATGATAAATATATGTATAGACACAAACATATACACATATGCACACACATATAATCAACCTGAAAACAACAAATATTGGTTGTCTCTGGGTGGTGGGACTGGTAATCATTTTAATTTTCTACTGTAAATGTCCTGTATTTTAAAATAAATGTATAATAATCACATATTGGCTTTATACTAAGAAAAGTTATTTAAAAAAATATCTGGCACCTAGGTGGCTATGTTCTCTGTCTGAAGAAGGCACTGACAATATCTAAAGTTTACTTGCTTGTTTTACCTTCATAATTTACACATATTTCTGGCCCCAACCACAATAGACCAAGATGTACTCACCAAGTTCTAGCATTGACAAGAATTGGTCTGTATTGGATATAATTTTGTATTCTCCAAAAGTGGAGATAAAGTAGAAAATAAAATTTACCTCTTACAAACATCATAGATAATGTAATGCCAGAATGATGAAATTTCAGAAAAACATGATTTCAAGTTTTGTGTTTTGTATTTTTTTAAATGCATACTGCATGTTAATTCTATTGTGGGCAAACATGAGCATCTCTCTGTGTAGATTGCTATGTCTAGGATTACAATTTGAAAACACTCCTAAAAAGTCTGCGTTTGAGCTTGTAATGCCATCCAGTACTGGTGCTTTAATAAATAAATGTATTCCTTAAGACTAATGTCTAAATCTAGTTTCGATTTCATTTATTTTTAATTCTCAATTTTTGTTTGGTAGGTGAAGTACATGATGACCTGGATCAGAAGACAGACATTACTAAGGTGTGGGGGTGATAACATTTCATTCTTATGATTAATTTCAAACTGTGCATGCTTTTAAAAAATGATGAGTTTTCAGAGGCCTTATTTTCACTATGATCAGATGAGCTATATAACATTAAAAAATAGATTAATGTGGTTCAAAATGCTATCTCATCCAGGTCCTCCAACCAGAGTTCTCAGTTTTTTATTCTTTTAGAAATATTTATGTATATGCAAGCAAATATATTTCTCCACCTTTTATGGTAGCATATGTATACTGTTCTTTTTTTAGACTCATCTTTATTATTGAATGTATTATGGATGTTCCCCCTTTTGTCCCCATTGGCTCCCTCCTCCCCTATCCTGCTCCTCTCAACTTTCTTTCTCAACAAGGCATCTTAGAGATTTTTCTTGATCAGTAAAAAAAAATAAGTGCTCCTTATTCTTTTTAATGATTGAATAGTATTTTGTCATATTGATGATCCGTAATTTATGTAAGGAGAAACTATTAGACATTCAGGATATTTCCAATATTTTCTAGTAAAGAAAATGCAACAAAAGTAACAGTGTGTACCTACACAATCTCATGTGGATTCTGTACTCTCTAACAAGTTCCATTGTTAGAAATGAATTGCTAAATTGAAAGGTATGTGCATTTGTTATTTGATAAATATTGCCAGATTACCCTCTTTAGAATATATACTAATTTTTTTTTTTTTTCATTTAACTTCAGATAGAGCCGAAGGGAGAGAGGGAGGAAGAGAGAGAGAAATATCAATGTGAGACAGACACATTGAGTGGTTGCCACCCACACGACCCCAGCCTGGGCTGGGGACAAACTGCAACTGAGGTTATGTGCCCTTAGCAGAAACCGAACCCGGGACTCTCTGGTCCATGAGCCAACGCTCCAACCACTGAGAAAACCAGCCAGGGCTTATCACAGGTTTTGATCATTAACAAACTATGTAAAAAACAGTATATCAAAATGGTTCTAATTTTAATTTTTCTTTTTATGAGTGAGGTTGAATATCTTTTCATATTTCCAGTAGCTGATTGTATTCCCTTTTCTGTGAACTTCTGGCTTACACTTTTTACACAGTTATTTATTGCGTTATCATCCATGGTTTCTGCGAATAAATGTCACTTGTTATGTTAAAATGTATTTTCAATGAGCTACTAGAGTCTGCTAATGCTTTAGATGTGTGCATTGGTATTTGTAAGACACATTCGTCTTCAATGTTCATTTAGGGAGTAATGTTTGCTTTGCTTCCAATGTTATATTTGCTGTAGAAAGAGAATGTTCTTTCCTTATTTTAATATTTCATAGGACAATTCATATAACATCAAAATGGTCTGTTTCTTCAAGTTTTCATAAAATTCTCCTGCAAAATCATGTAGACCTGGTGCCGTGGGGGTGGTAGCCCTTTGATAATGCTATTTTCTTTTCTATGATAGTTATCTGTTTAGAATTTCTACCTTTTCTGAAATGATTTGGAATATTATATTTTCCTAGAATATTCTCCAGTTCAGTAGGATTTTCAGATTTGCTATGAGTTGAACAAAGAGATCTCTTATGATTCTTTTAATTTCCTCTTTATCTGTGGCTATTTCTTTTTCTCATTTCTTATTTTTTCCCCCCTTCTTGATTATGTTAGAAAGTTGCCTCTTTCTCCCACAAAAAGTACAGGTTTTAAATTGATTTATTATTTATGTTATTTTTTTCTTACATTTTAATCAGTAAGTTGTGCTTTTGTCTTTATTAATGCTGTCTTTCTCCACTCCTTAGATTTCTTTTGCTATTTCCTCCACCCCAACTTTTTGCCTAGATGCTTAACATTTGGTTTTATTTTTCCTTTTTTTTAATCCTTACCCGAGAACATTTTTGCATTTATCCTCAGATAGAACCGGAGGGAGAGTGGGAGGAAGAGAGAGAGAGAAACATCGATGTGAGACAGACACATCGAGTGGTTGCCACCCACACGACCCCAACCGGGGCAGAGGACCAACTGCAACCAAGGTACATGCCCTTAGCGGGAACCAAACCCGGGACTCTCTGGTCCACAGGCCTATGCTCTAACCACTGAGTAAAACTGGCCAGGGCTATTCTACCTTTTTTTATACAAAAATTTATAGTTATTAATTTTCACCTGAACACAGCTTTAGTTTTATCACATAAATTTGGGTATGTAGTTTATTAAAATATATTTTTATTATGTCAATCTGAATATATTGAACCATGAATTTTTAAGAAAGAGTTTAAAAATTTTTAAGTGGTAGGGTTTTTTTTCACTCTAACTTGATAGTACTTTTCATAAAATAATATATTTGTATTATTTCTACTTTTTGGAATATATTGGGGTTTTCTTTGTGGCTTACTATGCTCAATGTTCCAGGGTCTTTAAAAGAGAAAGCGTATGTATATTTTGTTTTCAAAGCATAAAATTAGCTAAATGTCATTTAGTACTATCTTATTAATTATATTATTTAGGTCTTCTGTTTCATTATTTATCTCTTATCTATATTATCTGTTTGAGTTAAATAGGTTAATTAAAATGTTCTGATAATCTCTCTAGCTCCTATATAATCTGAAATTTTTGTTTTGTTTTGCTATTTTGGGGTATATTAATGTTTATAGTGGTTGCATTTTTATTATGAATTACACAATTTAACATTAAAAGTGCTCTTCTTTGATTCATTTAATTATTCTTGGTCTGATTTAAACCTAATTTGCTATTAAGATCATGACTCCTGGTTTCTTTTCATTTGCATTTGCCCATCTTTTATTTTCAATGTTTCTGAGTGACTTTATTTTAGGTGTGTCTCTTGTGTACAGCATAGGGTTAGATTTTGCTTTGTATTCCAATTTTTAAAAGTACTTTCAAACTTGTTAGTTTATTCTTTGTTTGCTTGTTCATTTAGCCTATACTATGCCTCATTTCAAAAAGGCTTTACAGTGAATTATAGACACATACAATAAGAAAAATAGCACATATCCAAAGACTAATAAGAAATGACAGTCAAACAGTAAAATTAAGCAAGCAGAAATGGCAAACTTACATGCACTCCAATCACAAAACGCTCAGTGTATGTATAATGGCACATAATTACATATACACACTTATACACACATTATTGACTCCCCAATTTTTAAAATAAGTAATGGGCCATTTACATTGGGCTACATGTTGTTTTAGTTCTGTTATAATATTTTAGGTTATATTTTGTGTCTTTATAATTTTTAATAATTATTTCTCTATTTGAATGCTTTTCTTTGTACATATACATTTCTTATAACATTTAGGAAAGTATTACATTATTTCTCTACTATAAGAGTTTCTATAATACTTTAATTTCTATTTCTTATGGCAATGTCTATCAATATCTTAATATGAACAGTGATGAAATCATTTTATTTTCTTTCCCTCATATTTTTCTACTATTTTTATTAATGATACTTCTTTTTTTTTTTTTTTTATCCTCACCCGAGGACACTTTTCCATTTTTTGTACCAATAGAGTGGGAGGGAGAGGAAGAGAGAGAGAGAGAAACATCGACGTGAAAGGGACACATCGAGTGGCTGCCACCCGCACGACCAACCAGGGCTGGGGACAAACTGCAACCGAGGTACGTGCCCTTAGCGGGAACCGAACCCGGGTCTCTCCGGACCGCAGGCTGATGCTCTAACCGCTGAGCCAAACCATCCAGGGCTAATGATACTTCTTAATCTTAAATATATATAGCTTTCTATTAGTTGGTTTAAATATTTAAATATCTTCTGAACTTCAAATGTTAAAATGAGGAAATCAGAGTTTTACCCCAATTTTTAGCTGTCTTTTCAACATAGACAAGGTATACAATACATACAGGGTGTGGCAAAAGTAGGTTTACAGTTGCTTGTATGGAAAATAATACAATAATTAATAAATAATAATTCAAGAATAGCCCTGACCAGTGTGACTCAGTTGGTTGGAGCATCGTCCCCTACACCGAAAGGTTGTGGATATGGTTCCCGGTCAGGGCACATACCCAGGTTTCAGGTTCAGTCCCTGGTCGGGGTGTGTACAGGAGGCAGCCGATTGATGTTTCACTCTCACATTGATGTTCCCTCTCTATCTCTCCCTCTCCCTCTAAATATCAATAAAAGCATGTCCTCAGCTGAAGATTAAACAAAACAAAACAAAACAAAAATACAAGAATAAACTTGTTTTGCATATCTATAACTGTAAACCTGCTTTTGCCCAGCTCTGTATATTTTGTTGTGCTATGCTAATCTATTTCTTTTAGACTTAGTCCTTCAAGTACAGAGATTTTGGTGTTCACCACCAACTAGTCCCCTTTCCATGTCTCCCCCCTTCCCCCGAGTTATCTCTTATTTGGCTGAAGTTCATCCTCCAGTTTCAAGAAGGATTAAGAAATATCTGTTTAGAACCATCTGTTGAGTTTATATTTGAGTAACAGTTTGGCTATTATCTCTTTGAGTCACAGTTTCTTACGGGGGATGGGGACTTAAAGGGAAGTCTAAGGTCAGTGTGTATATTACTCCTTACTAGTGAGTTGATCATTTTTCCCCCTAATATATTTTGTTCAAAAATTATTACATGGACAAAACAATCTGTGATTAAATAAGTCTCTATGATTCTAGGATAGATACAACTAATTGAGTGTCTTATATCCTGGTTTTGCCATATACTTGGATATAATATAAAACTTTAGTCTACAGTCTCCAAGACAAAGTGTATATCAAAGTATTTTCCCATCAACTGTTTTTGTAGATATTATCACAGAACTAGTGCTTTGAGTAACAAGCTTTTAAAAGTACGTTTTGTGCTTTCCAGAGGCAGGAATTAATAGGAATGATACTTACTATTGAACCATCTTCCACTATTGTGTTCTGTTCTTTATCGAACCCTATTTCTTTCATCTTTTTTTTACTCAACACATTCTTAAGTGTACAGAAAACTCATTCACAATAAGCACAATGTTGTACAGCAGATATCTAGAACTTTTTCATCTTACGTGAC